TCCCCCCGAGAATTGTCAGTCCACTCCCTTTCTATGCCCCTGATTCTATTATATCACCAGTTTTACTCTGTTCATCAGATTTTTTATTCACTTGATTTTTAGATTCACTTGTTGATAGATGTGTATTTGTTGTTCATAATTTTTATCTTTACCTTTTTCTTCTTCCTCTTCTCAAACTTTTTAAAAATGAAGAAAATCCATACAGGGTGTTCAGGGAAATAAGGGTGATGCCTGGTGTAGCACAGGGTGACTGGGTAGCTGGGGACAGGGTCTCTCAGAGGTGAAGTGAGCCCCGAAACACTTTTTTTTTAAATTTTTTAAATTTTTATTGTCTAATGCCCGCAACCCAGGTACATGCCCTTGACCGGAATCGAACCTGGGACCTTTCAGTCCGCAAGCCGACGCTCTATCCACTGAGCCAAACCGGTTTTGGCTACTATTTTGCATTTTCACTTGCAACATCTGAGAGTCCCAGCTGTTCCACATCCTCACCAACTCTTGTTAATTTTAGCCACTGTAGTGGGTATAGTGAAAACTTTAATTTCCCTGTCTATATTCCATGTGCTTATTTTTTGTGTGTTGTTTTTTTTTTTTTTTTTTTAGTGAAGAAATCTGAAACATTATTAGGAAAATCTGGTCACTTTAAAGCAGTTTGCATGAACAACACTTTTAAATACATGTAGGACAATGTATAACTCACTGAGGTCTTCCAAGAGAGAGAAGGCATTGCTGGCGTGCCAGTGAAAACCCGAGTTACTTCCCAGAACAACCGGAAAATGCAGCCGCTATGAGACCCCGTGCTTAACAGGATGGGGAATGGAACCCGCTACCTTTCAGCGTACTGGGCAATGTTCCAGCCAAGTGACCCACACCGGCCAGGACCACAACTATTTGATGACTTGATTAAATAACTACCTCTCACCTGTAACGTGGGGCTAACGATAGATCCAACCCCGGGGTTGGTGGGAGGAGTAAGCGACCGGCATTAGGGAGTCCTCGACTGATCGCTGGGGAGCACTCCGGCGAGTGGGAAAAGCTTCGACTTTTAAACGCGCAGAGGAAAAAATAAAAAATAAAAATAAACGCGCAGAGGATAAGAATGCCTCCTCCCGGGCAGAGGATCCCAGGCC